TGGTCGCCGTTTATGTCATTGATGTACATCTTTGATATGTAAACTTAGACCCCTGAACCTTACTACATCAAAACAGCGTATCTTTAGCTTTTTCACTAATAAACACATTTGGTTGTCCGAATAATTTCTCAGAATCCTCCTTATTGCTTTCTTACCACTAAAAAGGGAATGACTCAATAGCCCATCCAACTGGTCAAAAGTGGTGGATATGACCTATTCCCGATCCCCCGGGATTTTTCTCCCCCGAGACGCAGGGCAAATCATTCACACTGATACAGACTCCGGGAGTTCAAAATCCGAGTCCCCGCCTGGATTTAATGGTCGTAGAGGCAAAAGGAGTCAAATATAGATGGTCCATGTGCATATCTTACACGACAGCTCTCCACACCCAGAATCCCCTTCTAGTAATGGCATAGACAAAGTGCAAGCTGCTGTACCTTTTTAGGTGATGTATATATCAAGGGTCTGCTTCGTCTCCGGCGTCGACTAATGTTCAGCCCCCTGACGTTGAAGTTGTTATCAGAATAATAAGTAAACACACTGTCACTGAAACATCAAACCATATGCTGTCGATATCGATTTTTTTAAACATTTGAAAATTGAATGCCTAAAAGCGGTTTCAATCTCAAAAATGAAGCTTAGCATGGAGATCAGACGACTATTGGTATAGTGCTGTAACTGGTTTGCAATCTAGCTTATGCAAAACATGCAACCTTGTGTCGTGGATTGTCGAAGTTGCAAAGGTCTCTTGATTTGATTAGATTTTAAAGAATACTCAATGCAGTTAATGGATGAGGGGACATGTCAACCAGATGACACTAAACGCTTTCTTGGCCACTTTTGACACTTTATCTTCGTCGTCTCCCAGCGTTTGCCTTTCGCATAGACGACGAGGACACAGCCCTGCCCAAGATACCTGTCCATCCCATCGGCTACGGGGATGCTCAACTGCTTCTGGGGTAAATGTCACACCTCATGCAAAGACTGGTGTTGAGAGTTATCTTCTCAGTTCTCACCACAGCTTGAAGTAGCCTACATTCTCCAAAGTCCTTATATACTTCGAGATCTATCTCGTCACTGTTGCTAAAATCAAGTTAAATTCATTTTTACTATCTGTCTTTCGGTTCAGCAGCCTCGAACATCTGAATTTGAAGAATAGGTCTATGAATTGTTGACGTGTTGCTTTGTTCACATATGCATTTTCCCAAAGAGCTTCAAATCCGTTGTCCTCTGCTCGCACTCATCCGAAAGCGATCACTGTGAATGAATCTTGACGTCATTAGACCAGGGGCCTGTTCAAAAGCAGAATCCTGTCTACGCCTACTTTCTCCCGAAATGGCAGTGTCTTAATCCTAACAGGGCTATGCCTGACAGTAGTTTTACTGTTTCTCAATCCAGCAACATGACCGGTGTGGAGGTCATTGAATCCTGGAGGGGTCACTTACCTGTCACCTACCGCATTGGTCCAGGCTTCAGCAACCCTCAAAGGTTGGTACCTGATTACGAGTTCAGCTGACACATGTTGCTGGTCTCTCACTACCCATTTTTGATTCAGGACCGCGGACAGTGAGGAAGTTGAAATAATTCACATTTCAAGTGAAACCCCTTTAACTTTTCGATGCTAACCACAAAACAAAAAAGTTGTTCCATTATTTTCTGTCATGTAGGAATGTGAAAATGACCATCCATACCACACGAGAGAGGCGGACGACATATGACGTCATCGGTATCATCAAAGGGGAGGTTGAACCAGGTGCCTTATACACATACGTAATGAGCCACCGCACATATTAGGCAATTTAATAGAACACAACTTGCGCTGATACGATTTTATGCCAGACTAACAAAATGATGAAAATATCTGACAAGTGGAAGGAATCGTCAACAACATGTTCCGTCCCTCTAATCATGAGGTTGCTTAAACAAAACTCCATTTGGTGAAACATTACAATTAAACTGAAAATCACAATAATAACAGGAGACAGAAATCGTCACCAGACACAAAAAGTTAGTGTGCGGGCTTCACCTCCACTTGTGGAGTCCCCCCCCCCATGAAGCTCCGTGTGTGCTATCACTGATGCTGTTCATCAAAACGTCTTCAAACACTCTTTAAAAGTATTGCAGCCCACAATTTTTGTTGTTTTTTGGTTTTGGTTTCTTCCCCCCAAAAATATCTTTCAGGTTTCTTTGACAAAGTCAACTAGATTTTCATTTTCATTTTTGTCTGCAGATCGGTATGTCGTAATTGGTAATCACCGTGATGCTTGGGTCTACGGAGCTGTAGATCCGAGTAGTGGTACAGCAGCTTTGATGGAGGTGTCACGTGCGTTTGGAGAGCTGAGGAAATCAGGTGAGGTTGTGTACTGAATGGTGATTGGTTCAGGGAGTGGCTCCGCCCTGAGCTAAGTCATGAATATGCAGTCCGAACCTCAATGGCTATTGGATGTAGTACTCACCTGGATGATTGGGTTAAGGTGGCGAGTACGGATCTGAGTGGTCGATGTATGTTTGGCCTCGAAGGAAGAAAATGAACCTCTCAGTTGTTCAGACCAAAGGGAGTCCCAGTAGAAAATGAAGAGGGAAAGGTTTGGCTTCAAAATATTGACCAAATACACAAAGCACTTGCCATTTCTTTCTGGTATATTGAGAGCAAGAAACAGAAAAAAAAGAGGTCGAACATAGAAGAAGCTTCCTCCCATTACAGCACATTGATTTGATCAATGTTTGTTTACAGGTTGGAAACCAAGGCGATCCATTGTGTTGGCTAGCTGGGGTGCTGAGGAGTATGGTCTATTGGGTTCTACAGAGTTTGTAGAGGTAGGGTGATTTTCTTTTAGGAACTAGAGTACTGGTCAATTCAGTAAGACCTTACTTACTATGTTCTGCAAACACATTTTGGAAGTTGTAGTAACACAGTTGTCAGATCTTGGCCACAGTTACGTAAGTTGGAAATCACCTTAGTCTTCAACGAAACGTTTCTGTTTTCGGCTGTTATTGGCAGACACTGTACTTTATTTGGGGCATGCTTTAAGTGCCCTCTAAAACAAAAATTGGAGTTGCATGGTAAAAATGTCAATAGCTGAAAGGTTGAAAATTGCCTCAAACGTTAATGGTTTCGGATAAAATAACTGCTAAATGAGTTAATGGACAAAAGTGGCTAGCAGCGAGTGGTTTCTGTCAAATATCGCACAAGATAAAGGCATCTTGTGAAACATGCTTTACAGTGTGCAAAGATTCCAATTCGATCAACGAAAAATAGGGATTTTCCTTTTCTGATAATCACTTTCAGGAAAATCAAAGCTATCAGATTCTGAAAAGGGCTTTTTGGCGTTTCAGAATGACTTGAAAATGTATTCCAAACCACCTATTGTTTGCACAGGAATTTCAGAGGATACTGGCTGCGAGGGCCGTGGCGTACATCAATGTTGATTCTGCCGTGACTGGTAACTACACACTTCAAGTCAAATCAACCCCGTTGCTCTACCAGGCTATCTTTGCAGCTTCAAAGAAGGTCAGAGTTTTTGGAAATAGAGTCTGAAAATTGCTTGCCAAACGGGGACAGCTGCATTAAGAGGATTTATTAGAGGATTTATTCAAAGAATTGAAAGTGTACATGTGTGTTACAGATAACCTTATTGTCCATTTATTTTGGTATTATAAAAACAAGTGTCTTCGATGGTTTTATGCTAATGCGGATTTCCATATTCATGGCATAGCTACGATGTCCTTCCAGGGAGAAAATCACAATAATGCATTGTTTGCACACAAAAACTGTGCACTTCTAATTCCTTTTTTTTCTGCGGTGATTCGTTGCTGCGTGAGCACATGCCGATAACCTAGCCCTCTGTTATTCGGAAAAGCATAAACAATTATAAAGGCTTATAAAAATTGCACTATGGAATCACTTAAGCCTCAAAGGGATATCAAATTTTTAACAAACCGAGGAAGTGCGAAAGGTTCCACAAAACGATCGTCTAAAGAAAAGCATAAATCATCCACTTGTTTCAAAATCGGGGCAGAAGCTTACAAAACATCTATATGTAGGCCATGTGGCAATTGTTACAGGCTACCCTCTCCCAGAGAAATGTTGCTTTGTGTTTTCTTAGTGTTCTTGAACAAAAAAGGACATAATTTTGGTATGATCACGAAGTGTCATAATAACACGATATTCAACAGCCACACTTTGGAACGCCAGTGACTGTGACAGGACACCATCATGAGAAAGTTGGCATAAAAACCAGAATGGATATTTTCATGGGTACGTGTATCTTCAGTGTTGCTAGGGCGCTCAACTGGCCATTCCTGTGCTGAGAGGGTAGACCTTCCTTTGTTTGCAAACATAATGCTAATTTGTATATATTGGCAGCCAAATGTCACTCAAGCTCACAAGTTCAGTTAGTGTGATAAACTTGACTGTGCAAACTTTCCTGTTACTTTTGTGCTCGCAGCCAGCCGTAGCTTTATCAACCACTGATTGGCAGTAACTGCACTTTTGACCTAGCAAAACGGGTATAACATGCGGAGGAAGGTCAGCTCCACCTCCTGCATCCAATCATCTTTTAGATTCATCATTGATAATTCTGTTTTCCGAATGTCAAATATTTGTCGTCGATTCCATGCCTGCAACACAGGTGCCTGCCCCAGAAGACCTATCGATGTCACTGTACGATACTTGGCGTAATCGCATCCCTGTAGATGCCAACGATCCCGATACACTGCCCAGGTAGCACCAAATCTTGAAATTACGGTTCCTCAACCCCACCATTTTTTTCCCTGGCAGATCTCAAATTCGAGTTCCATTTAGGGTGCATGTTGTAGTCACTTCAACCTTCAGGACAAAAGGCCCCTATATGTATATGGAACACAGAGTTGAATTCTTTATCCCAAAAGCAAGCTGCTTTCAGTAAAGTTACGGGATTTCGATTGCTATTTGTTTAGTTATTCTAATACGTGGACCTTCCTACAGTGCCTGAAAAGTTGCCGGACTTGTTGACTTCAGTGAGCATGATTTTTATTTTGTTCGACCACGATATAACTTATATCATAGAAAATTTGGTATACTTTTTCTGCTGGCTCTGATACCGTTGCTAATAACATCGCAACGATGCTGACGTATACTAGAGGAATTGAGCTGTCCGGTTTGTACAGGGATAATATAATGTAGATTGTGTTGCAAATTAGGAAAAAGGACTCAAACGTTCCTTAAAAGTCTGGATTTTTGTTCCAGTCTGTTCCAGTCCAATTCCAGTCTTTTAAACAATGCGCAATCCAATGCTTAATGTGGAGTTTATGCAATTTACAGTTTCAATCAACGGCTTCTCGTCCATTAGGAATCAATGATTATAGCCTAGTGTCGGAAATCTTAGTGCGGTTGCAATTTTGATCCACTTATACCTTTTTGGGTGGTCAGCAGTTGAATTTCGTTACATTTACAATTCCGTAAGTAAAATCATTCACCTCATGATACAGATTACAGTGAAATCCAATTAATTCTCACCTGGTATTTCATATTCTCCAACAGAGTCAGAAATTTGGGTTCGGGGAGCGATTTTGCTCCGTTCATGTACCGTATCGGGGTACCGGCAGCTGATCTTCGTTACAAGTACGATTCTGTAAGTCAAATCGTTCAACAAGTTACAAAATAACGAAAGTGAACAAAAACATCTCAGTTACTATTTCATTTTCCCTGATAGAGTCAGCAAATTGGGTTCGTGGAGTGATGTTGCCCCACGTCTTGTACAGAATCGGGTTATCAGCTGGTTCGTTCCGCTTTTTTTAGTCAGATTTTCAAAAGCACGACCTATGACCCTCCTCACTCATGAATACGTATTGTTGCTTCAGCCCTATTCAAGAGTCTGTTGCATCCTACTTAGAATTCAAGCTTACAGTTGACTCTCTCTCCCCTAGAAGTGCATGTCTAAGTTTGAAAATCAAATATTTTTCACTTAGTGGTCGAGTGTATAATTATAAATGACTGGGCTTGGTGTCGCTGCTGCTGTTGCTGCTATTGTTGTTGATGTTTCATGTCTTAATAATTCTGTCGACAGTCGCTTGGCATATCCAGCTATCCTGTTTACCACTCCGTCTACGAGACTTTCTATTACATGAAGGTGTTCCTTGATTACGACTTCCTACGGCATCAGGCTGTTGCCAGGCTATGGGCTGAGGTAGCCCGAGACTTGGCCGAGTCGGTCATCCTGCCCTTTGACTGTACCGATTACGTGGACAAGATCACGGGGTCGATGGACACAGTGAAGGCGGCGTACGAGACACAGATGAACAACAAAGGAGTTACTTTCGGTAAGCGGCACATTAACGAGTATGCAGGTACATTATATCACAGTCTAGCAGTATTCATATACATTGAGTCTGAAAAGATCAAGCCAAGTCCAATAAAATCAAAGTGATATTACTAGAAAGCTTAGAAAGAAAAGATTACACGTAAACAAGTTTTGAAGCTTTGCGTGATTGGGGTTCGATTATTAAGGTTTGTGGTGATACTATGGAGGAATGATCTCTATTGGGAAGTGCGGTTCTGGGGAAAATGTTAGTATGGGATCCACATTCCAGCCAGTTTTCTCTGCATGTCTTATGAACAATTATTATTGTCAAACTGTAATCAACCAAAAACTGCTGCTACAGACCTCGTTTCTTGACCAGAAAAATCATCACAAAGATATCAGAGATCTATTACCCGGTATTAACCTCAAAGCACTTTACACAAGACTAGTGCATTAGATGATGTAATTATTCCTTTTTCTCTCTTATAGAATACATCTACTCTGCTCTGGCTAACTTTTCAGCTGCCGCCACTGAATTTGAGAAAGTTATTTCACAAACTGACAAAAAAGAGTAAGACTATATCATTAAAATCACTACTTCATGTGCAATTTATCTGCACCGTATTTGAACATAATGGAATACCATACACACTCTTCCAATTGATACTTGTTTCACATAATTAAAAAAAAATGTCTGAATGAGAACAACAATGGCTCCGGCAAACGTGATTTTCAACCTACGAACCTCAAATGAATGTCACATCCAGTTGCTTCTGATATTACAGTTTGATGGCCGTGCGTCAAGTTAACGATCAACTAATGCAACTTGAACGAGCTTTCATTGACCCTCTTGGGCTCCCAGACCGCAAGTTTCTCAGGTAAGAATTTAGAAGAAAATCGATCATGCTCGTCCGTGTACTTCAGGCTATGATACGGGGAGCCTTTCTTAACTCGCGGCCGCGACTTATTAACTCGCGGCCGCGAGTTATTGGCAACAACGAAAGAGAAACGCACCGCTGTGAAAGAGAAACACACCGTGGCCCTAACGGGCTTCCGTAGGGAGCAGCTTCCAAGCTGCTGTGACTGCGATCGCACGTTATTCTCGATAGTTATGACTGCAAGAAAATGCGAAATTGTCGCCCCTGCCCCCCCCCAAAAAAAACGTAACTGTCAATATCTACACAAAGAAGTTACACGGGACAGTCGTGCTCTGGGATTGGCTCTTATAGCTTCTACTAGATTGTCCATACATATTCAGACATTCGTGGTATTGTGTACCTCGTTAGATTCTTGAACAGTAAACCTAACGCTGTCCACAACTCTTACGTAATGCTTGCTTACCCTTAAGCTTGATAATTTCCATTAAATACTCAGCTGTAGATTATGCCCCTAACCTAACCAAACCCACACCGATAAGAAACTATTTCCAAAAAATATCCCTTCGTTTATGCATGTATATCTGCATCAGGCTGTGAAGCCTCTGTATTGGGCAGAACAGAAATTGTTTCTTTTACCAAGTCACCGAAAACTCCATTCTCGAACAGATTCTGCGTACAGATGCTTCAATAGTCTAACGCTGCAACGGTTTAAACTCAGCAGGGTGAAGTTTTCCAGCAGCATATTCTAGAGAACTGCCCAAATATTGCTCAGATAACTGACCTACACTCTCGACCGCCGACACACTTGACACGCTCGCCATCTTTCGTATACTTTCATTTTGCATAATAGGTTAATGTGTGCTGACCCAGTCGCTTATGATAGGTTGCGATTTTTGCTGCCCCAACAAAATCAAAAACATAAAGAAAACGAAAGAAATTCCTGACAAGTTGGAAAAGGCCTCGTGGCTGCGCCACTCGTGCATGTGGTCTCCGGTCCAGCCGCTTTGCAGTTACACATAAACACAGCCGTGACGGCCTCAACGAAAGGCTACTTAAGCCCTGGCCGCCGAGTCGGCCATACGTCTCGACCCTGTACTAAAGTGCTCACCTAGACTCTGCGGACAGTCCCAGCAGAGGAGCTTACCCGGTTGGCTAAGGTACTGTTGGTACTTTAGGAGGGAAAATTAACTGCTTTATAGTTGTGATACAGGGCTGATAATCTATTTTTTTTTTAAATGCAGCCACTAGGATTAAAACCCCGAAACCCAAAGCGTTTCAACAGCCAGCTTAACCACTTGACCATTTATGAGACGCCAAGCAAAACCTGTTAAGAAAACTCATTTATCGCGCGGCTAGCTCTGTATCGAAGCACTTTTTGTTTTTAAATACCTCGTGGTTGAGTCAGATTTGGCTTTAATGAGAGTAGGTAACTAAGGCCACATTTAAAGCGCTGTCAACCTATTTTTTATCATGGTGTTTTATAACAATGGAACACATCAAATAATAAAATACTAATTACATTAATTGGGGTTTCAGAATCATAAATATATCAGATAACGATGTTTCCACAGGTAAACAATAACTGACAGTTCTACACTTACGTGCTCTCGTGAAGCGGTATTAGCGCCCTTCTTGGGGTGGAGCATTCTTTTTGAAAGAACAAAAATGCCCCAGTTTGTTTCCTTCCTGACTTATAGCTAGGAGGACTAGGGAAAAATGTTGAAAGAACAGGTGATTAAGAAGTGTTGAATGGTGTTCGGCCAAAGAATTTTCAAATTCGCTATTGTCAGGCAATGATTTGGTTAAGTGAATTTCAGGGGGATGGCCATTCTATTTTCAGGAGAGCAAACGAAAAACCCTTAACCCTTGTTTGACTTTCTCAGTGAAAATCACATATAGGCATTTATTTCACTCGCCTACAAAGTGACGATTCTTTTTTAAATTAAGAAACGTGGTGGGCATGTATAACTCTATAAGTCCAACCTTAACTTAAATTGGTACATGCTACATTATATAATTATCCTCGTTCAGGATGTCAAAATGGTTTAAATTTCTCAAAAAGGCCTTTGGTAAGATGCAAATTTGAGTAACCTTTTGGCTTTACATAATTACTGAATGACATTCTTGAATATCGAATAAGGCATGATTCAACCGGCCAAATCTTTCAGAGATGGTAATTTGTGGTTAATTTTTGTCCCCCTCCCCTCACCCCACTTTTGAAGACACATCGTCTTCGCTCCCAGCAGTAAGAACTACTACGCCGCAGACGCCTTCCCGGGCATTGTTGACGCTATGTATCGGATCGACGAGGCACCAGACCAAGATGCACGCTGGGATATCGTGCGTCAGCAGATGGCGGTCACAACTCACGCCATTCAATCAGCAGTCAGCACGCTGCAGGATGTGCTTGCTTTCGATGGTTAATCGTGGCTCCTATTTTCAGTTTGTGCATACAAAAACAAATATGGAAAAAATTTGTATGATTTGTTTTCTTTGTCGTGCCTATGAATGATTGATGTAGTGATGTGTTGTCCTTTTCATACGTTTGAGAATTTCTTGGCCAGGGGACGTGACTTTTTTGCTAAACCTGAAGTAAATCTTAGATTTTTGGAACCACAAATTTAATTCTATTTCTCAATTATGTATTTTATTAAGCCTAAACATTAAATACGTTTTCTTCAACATATTTGAGTGTAATACAGTGTTTCCAGAACAAAAGCAGCATAAAATGAGTTTTACTTTTGTGTTTTAAAAGCATTTCTGTGAACTACATTAAGGCAGTCTTTGAGATTATTATCAATCACATCAAAAGAAATTTGAAGTCCGTTTTATTCAGATATATGTTTTCCAACTTTAGTTTCACGAGACATATATTCTTCAGTTTGTTCTTATGAGACCTGTATTTAAAAAAGTTGTTTGTATCGTTGGAAACACATCTTTTATGACACGTATTCTTCCAAGTTCTTTATTATTAGATACAATTTAAAGTTCGTTTAGGAGTTATAGTTTTTGAAGATCGTTTTTATGAGTTTAAATTTTCGAAATTCTTTTTTGTGAGATATAAAATCATACTTGAACATATATATCTATTGAAAACTCACTTTGAAAAATATATCTTATAAAAGCAAACTTGATCTAAATGTGACATGGAGATACGAATGAGGTATGAATCTTAAGAAAGGTGTTGCAACAGTGGGTTGAATACAACTTGCTTGAGGAGACATCAGCAAGGGTGTGGCAATGGCACCCTGAGGCAGTGGCCAGGGGGGGTGCGGCTAGGGCCAGAGTACCACATAAACACTGTAGCATGGTGTTAGGAAGGCTGTGGTAATAATATTGTGGAGGTGTTTCATCGCCTGTATCGAATCAGCTATGGCCAGTTGCAGGCCGTTGGAGAAACACGGTGCTTTCTGGAAATAAAACACCATTTTTTGGTGAGGTCCCAATGAGAAAACAATTTAAAAACAATTGGAATTCCTAAACCTATACGCAGTCATTAAAAACTCCAGGTCATAAAAAATTATGCCATATTTGCAAGGATTCCAATTAAAGTTGAAGGATAATTTCATACACTGGTGTCTATTCCAAGCAATGATTTAAAATTTGTGAAGATAGATAATGAAATAACCTGTGTATAAAATTTAAGCATTGAAATCACAGGACCTTAAGAATGAACTGAATTGAACAGGATTTTAATGTGGTGTGTTAAAACTTCCTTTATTTTCCAGCAGTAAACAGCATCCTAAAATGGATCAGTCGGTGGCTTAACTTTACTACTAAAAAAAATTCCGTGTTATAGGCCTTTGGTCCGTGCCCCTGCGTTGCTGTTTAAAATTTGGAAATGACCACGAACTAAGCTACACATAATTCGCTTCTGTTGTTCCTCGAAAAAAAATTGTACCTAGTTACGTTACCGAGAATTTACTCAAGAGTTGAGTGAGAGAGAATTGTAGTGACGCGTCTAGAAATTGGTTCAGGAATGGGGGAAATGGGGATTTTTATAATTCAATTGGCTTTCATCAATAAAGAAATCACAAAGCCTCCAAAAAAATGGAGAGTACCGTCTTTGAACTGTAAGACTTTCAATTTTTCTAAAAAATAAAAATTAGGCTTCCTGGATATGCCACTGATGGGAAGTACAGGCTATATCCCAGTATTACAGACCTCAGTATGTCTTGGTAACATTAGAAAATTTGCCCTCAACTTTTCCCTTCCTTTGGCCAATTCAGATACTAGAAGCAGCTCATGACAATTGTCTTTACTCGCGTAAAACTGTGTCGACCTTTGTTAAGTGTTTACATTAGCTATGAAGTATCAAAGTTCATAGCAATAACCTGAATGTGTAATCTAAATGTGGACTTTTGCTTTCCCTGCGAAAGGTCGCAAAGTTGTGCGAGATAAAGTTACATATTTAGCAACTGGTCTAGTCGATCAGATCTACAGTCGAGGCAACCGAAGCGTCATGGAAGAGGAGAAGCAATACAGAAAAACGTCCAAATGGCCCAGACCCATGTTCTGGATCATCACGGTAGCTCTGGCCGTAGCGGGCATCGGCTTGGGGGTGATCATTGGCTATTTCACGGCACCGAGAAATGCAGAGTGTACGGTACCAACGCCTGATCCCAACACTGGTACGCCCCCCGTGAACGTCATTGACCGAATCAACGCTGAGAATATTGAAGAGAATCTACGGTAGGTACACGTAATAGCACATGGGATCGTGGTAATCAACAAATTGGCGAGGATCTAGACTGGATCTGAAGATACATGGGCGAGGTAGCTGGCTATGGAGGAGGGACTAGGGCCACATTTACCTTCTATAAGAGCTTTCAGATTTTTCAGATTTGAGGGTTACTTTTAGAGCGGAGCAAAAGCTTTGATCCTCAAGGCTAAGACCACGGCCCTGACCAACAAGGCCAAGGCTAAGGCCCTCAAGTGTAAAATTGCAACTAATACAGCGTGCCCCCACTAAAGAAAGTGGTTAATGTTACAGAAGTTAGACCAATTTAAATATATTGAGTAAGAGACTAAACAAACTCCCTGCACAATTGCTTAAAGCACAATTCCCCTGTAAAATAAAAACTTAGTAAACACACTCTTCTATCAGTTCCACCAAGTTTAGAATGAAAAAAATCAAACAAATATGATTAATATAGTTTTCTGTTGGGATAAGCAGCAAAATTCCTATACCTGTTGTGGGAACAAATTTTCACACTGTAAAAGTGAAAATATAAAAACCAAGGGCGTTTCTTACATCCAAGACAAAATATGATTGGTTTTTATTTACACCAGACTCTGTAGACAGCTCGTTAATGCTGTTTGCTGTTTGCAGAACGGCAACGTTTGGAACAAATTTACCTAGCAAATATTTTGAAAGATCAGTTGGAAATTTTAAAAGATCCGTTGACCTTGAAGAGCAAGGCTCTAAACTTACAAGTCGCTGATATCTGAAGGTTAAGACCAAGGCAAATGCTTTTTTAAGTTATTTTCAGAAGAACAAAAGATAACGGCCGGATGTGAACGAAGTTTTGAGAATTTAGTAAGCTCGAAAATTCCCTATGCTGATGAGCAGAATGTTCTGTCTTATCAGTATGGCAAACTGTCTTTTGGAAAATAGTTCTCATTTAGAACCTGACTTTAAAAATGAGTTGAAGATGAAGCGAGAGCCACTTTTGCATTGAAAGCCTGCAGAGCATCCTGAACAATCATCTGTCATCTTAGTTCCGACAGTAATCTGGATGTTTGGGGCTTTGATAGTAAACTTCTCAGGCTAGGTGCGCTTGATATTCACAGATCACTTTGTTATATTCTTAATCAGTCTCTTACAAGTGGATATATTCCAGATGATTGGAAATTTGCCCGTACCACCCAAACTCTGTTGCTTGTCATGTTGGTAAGATTACTGAAAAAGAAATTCAGGTTCAACTTTCTGATTACCTGAACACCCATGATATGTTTACAGTTGATCAATTTGTTTTCCTTAAGAACTACTCCACTTAGTCATGTTTGCATCATGCTACTGATGATTTTTATAGGCTCTTGTTTTCTTGACATATCTAAGTGCTTTGGTATTAATGAACATGAATTGTTACTTTTTACATTTGAGCAGTATGGTGTGTCTGACACTGCCCTAAAATGGTTTAAAAACTACATCTCTAATAGAAAACAAGCGGTCAGATGCAATGGCGAAACTTCTAGTCCTAATGATATTTCTATTGGTGTACCCCAGGGAAGTGTTCTGGGACCAATTTTCTTTTTAATCTACATTAATGACATCACGCAAAGTGTTAATTCTAAGTGCACATGTAATATATTTGTCAATGATGTCGTAATTTTCACTACTGGGAGTGATATGTTAATCTTGTCTTGCAATCTAACATGGAAAGCATTAGTGACTGGTACGATTTTAATCATCTTTCTATTAATCCTGACAAAACCAACATTATGCTTTTAAAATCCAGTCGTGTTAATAATATTGACAAATTGAATATTTTACCTAAGAATACTCAACTTGAACAGGTTGAGAGAGTGAAGTATTTAGGGACTGAAGTTGATGAAAACCTCACCTGGGAATCTCATATCAGTCGGTTGCCTATAAGATTCATTCCCTTGGTCGACTAAGGCATGTCATTAACAATGGTCTTCTTAATACCTTATACGAAACAACCATTCAGCCATGTCTGGACTGTGCCAGTTCTGTGTGGAGCAATTGCTCAATGACTAACAGGAAGACTCCTTTTAGGCTACAAAAAAAGAGCGGCCAGGATTGTTGCTAATAACTTTGATTATGTTCATTTTCATGGTGATGATATCATCAGAGCCCTTTCTTGGCAGACTTTTGAGCAAAGGAGGGACTTTTGTTTGGCTTGTAATGTGTATAAATGTGTTAATGGTTTAGCCCCTGACAGACTTTGTTACAATACTGAGATGTATTTTGATAGGCATGGACTTAACACTCGAAACGCTAATTCTCTTAATGTTGTAGTCCCTAGGCCTCATATGGAATGTGTCAAGCAATCTCTCAACTATTCTGGGGCTATTACATGGAATAACTTACCAGCTAAAGTCCAGTATGCATCCTCTTTTGATGGTTTTAAAACTATGTAAAGCTTCATTTTTAATTAGGTTTTTTAATACTATTGTGCTCTTATCGGTTAATCTTATTGTTACCATTTTTATCCTCTTGTCTATTTTCTCTGTTCCGCACAGGACCATGATGTAAAACAGCCTTTAAGCTGAATGTGTATCGTGTTTAAAGAGTTTAAATAAAATATAAAATAAATAAATACAAACAATGTAAATCGACTTAAAGCCTTAACATTGTTATCCACACATTATTCGTTTTCATCAGGAGGCTTGGTGGTACATCACAAACAAAAAGCATGTTCTCTTTGATGAAAACTAAAACAAAATTACTTTTAAAAATTGCAACGTCATTGCGACGCACCGTCGATGGTTCTGTCCTCTTCGTTTTGCTTTTTTTTAAAATTTATCATTTTCGTAGCCTCATACATATACTACTAAAATATGATGTGATATCTTTATGTCTTTTGGTATTACCATATTATAATTTTATGACATGAATGATATCCTTCGTTGATCACCGATAGGTACTTCACTAAGGTTCCTCACATTGCCGGCTCTCCAGCTGAGCGTTCCAACGCGGAGTACATGCGGGACACGTGGAAAGAACAAGGACTAGACTCGGCTAAACTCGTTCCTTATGATGTACTTCTGTCTTACCCCGATGACAACAATCCAAACAAGGTAAACCTATTGCTGTGTGCCCTCATTTGAGTGGTGTTAGTGCACTAGTCATGGAAGAGGGCCTGTTTATACGAGAACTCGATTCTCCACAAAAAAAGGGAATTCGCACGAGCCGACTGCAACAAGTATAGCAAATTTCGCCGCCAGTGATTCATGACGTCAACTTTTGCGTGATTTTTTTTATTTTTTATTCTTATTGCAACCGCACCAAGTATGACCTGAGCCTATAAACTCCTCGCATTGCGCGGTCGCTGATTTTCCAACCTATCACCCCGGCAACACTCAAAATCTTTGAGCTATAAAATAGCTGTTGTTGCATGGTGTCACGTGTTTCGGAAGGTAACCTTGCGTACCCCTTGTTATAGCGACGCCTTTGTCGTTCAAATCACTGAGTTGAGTGTCGTATCGAGCAGGGAGAGAGTAGGGGCCAAGTTTCCTCTAATGACATGTTGCATTTTTAAATTATTATTAATTCGTTATTACTGAACATTATTCTTATTAATTTATTACTCATTACTTTCTATTTGTCGATTTTTTTTAGGAATTGAAAGAACTAGCACCCTCCTTCTTGGGAAGGTTTCTTTCCAGATACCAAAAAGGAAAATATCCCCGTCTTGAAACCCCCCCCCCCAAAAAAGAAAAAACCTGCTACTACTAACGTTACCGTGTCACATCGTTGTTAATTTCCACAGCGACGTTACATCAGCACAGGAACATGCTGAAGAAAAAGTATATTTATGAGTTTGAAAATCTTGAAGAAAGGGGCAGTGAGTTACTGCAGACTACGGGAATTCCTGAGTCTATGATGAAAAAGCAGTTTTCAACTAAAAAGTGGATTTTCAGTCCTTTTTCAAAGAGTTTGAAGGCCATTCTTGTTCACGACGTTGCTCTTATGAATCGTATTTTTGTGAGTGGAAGATTGTGTGCACGAAACATTTCATAACACGCACATTTGGGGTGTGGTACGTATTTCTCCTCAAAGCCATAGTTACATCTGTGGAAGGCTATACCTCTTCAGTAGATGACCCTGTTTTTTGTCATTATATTACAAATGTATATTCTTGTTGGCTCAATCAGGTGTCTATCCTCGAAGATGGTAATGAGATATTCCACTCGCGACTGGAGGAGGCAATGCTTAGACCTGGCGACGACCACCCTGATGTCGTGCCGCCATTTAATGCATATTCATATCAAGGCGAACCAGAGGTAACATTACCTACCCCTTTCAATCCACTCAAACTCCTTGTTCCTCTTTCCCATCTTATTTGTCATTTCCACCATGATTTTATCACTTACTGGGTGCACGACATTTCAGTATGATTTTGGGTTTTTTTGCTTGGTTGCTTTTCCAATCATTTGCCCAGGATGTGTCTGTCTATATTTCGTTTATTGTTGGTGGTGCTCGTTTTGAGGGTTTGTTAGAATAAAAAACACGCATGTATTTAAAAGGAGAAACTAAAACGTGCTCCTGTTTTCAAATTCCTTCCTTTTGTTTCTCTTTTGTGAAAGGGCGACCTGGTGTATGCTAATTACGCTCGAGTGGAAGATTTTGAATACCTGGAGAAAAACCACCCTGACCTCAACTTGACTGGCACCATCGTCATTGCGCGCTATGGAAAGATATTCCGAGGAAATAAGGTGATGCTCATTTACTCGAAAGTCCCGCGAAACTGTTTTTTTCAAAACGAAGTGCCCCGGTATCTGCTTCATTTGTAGTTTGAGCCTGAGATTCGACCCTTTGACTATTACCGAATTCCACAACAGACCTAAAGACAGAAGGCTTAAAAGAAAATCTTTTCCCCTAAAAAAGAATGAAAACATCCAAACGACTCAAATCAGTTTGATGCTGTAGTCTTCTTCTTGATCCTTATCCTAAAATGTCCGTTAAAATACGGTACAAACACCGTTCACATGCAGTAGCACGGTTGTTTAGAACCGTTCGGCCAGGGAAATTGGCACGGCAGCGCAGCACTTTGACTAGACAAGGTGTGCCCGGCTGTCGCCGTTCTGAACGGCACTGGCTTGTTTTATTCACGGCGTACTGTAGACTTACCAAATTTAAACACATTCGAAGTGCGTTTGTGAGGCTCTAATTGTTCATGTCCTCCCATAATGCAAGCGCGAATGCGCATGGCAAACACAAAGTCTTGCGCAAATTATCTTTTTGGCAAGTGAACGACAAACTCTCCCCCCCCCTCCCTGGTGATAATCCTGGATCCGCCGTTGATATATACCCCTAAATTAACAAACATCTGTTTGACCAACAATCGTAGAAAGGACTTCATGGCTCATTCTTTGATGGAAAGTCCAACATGTTTGAATTATCGAGGGTTGATTTGAAAATGTCAGTTTGTTCTCTCCCTCCTATACATTTACTTTGATGTAGATCTCCAACCATCCGAGGAAAGGTTGGTCTGATCTGATCATGCGCTAATAAGCTATTACGTTTCGTGCCTTTTTAGCTCACATCGCTACACTTCAAGACGCAAAGATAGCGTTCCGATGCCCGCAGTTTGCGGGTTCGGAACTTTCCCATTAGAGTGCTTCGTGAATACCACTTCCCAAAAGGTCACATGTTTACAACGATGGTGGTGAATTTTTTTTTTTATCCACACACAGAATGACACCCTCACAGGGTCTTGCTTTTGTTTTTAACTTACAAAAGTTTTTAAAAGCAAAAACAAATGAGGCAAATTGACAGCAATTGCGGAGAGGTTTGATCCCGCTGAAATGCTGTCTAATAATCACACGTTATTCGTTCCAAATATGATCTCTCATTAGGTCTACTCTTGCTGTTATCCTGGCGCCATTTAAGTCATTATCCATCTTCCCTTGTAGATTTGGATCATCATCAGGGTTCAGATCTGAGTTTGGTGGTGGGTGTGTACCGATCGAAATTTCACTTAATAGCATGTGTTTGCATCCCTTAGCACCAGGGTCGGGGGGGGGGTAACAGTCCATTGGCCATAACTTGACTCCTCCAATCGTTTCCCAACATTAATGATCCCGTGCCTTCTGCGTCACCCACAGGCTCTGAACGCGCAGGCTGCGGGTGCCAAGGGTCTGATCCTGTACTCCGACCCGGCAGACTACGCCATCGATGACGGTGACATCAAAGTGTACCCGGACGGATGGTGGCTGCCCGAGACGGGAGCGCAGAGGGGGAATACTTTCGTCAGTGACGCAAAGGGCGACCCTATCACGCCTGGCTACCCAGCCAAACGTAATGGCAACTAATCTTGTTTAAAGTGGGTCTGTTTTCAAGACGCAGAAGTGGCGTAAATTTGTACTAGGGAATGGAGGATGGGGGATATTCGACCGGCCATGGACATTTTAAAAGTGAGGAGGCGTTCATGTTACTGATGTATATCTTTAATATTCCTACGTACACCCCAAACCTTAAAGATTTTTTTCACCAACAAAATATAGTTGGTTGTTGGTAAGTCTGAATAATTCCTCGAAATCCGGCTTATTTTTTCTCACCACGAAATAGGAGGAATGATTCAAAAGTCCCTGGCCCTGATCGAAAAGTGGGGGATATACCATATTCCGCCGGGATTTACGCCCCCGAGACACAGGGCAAATCATAAACAATGTGACATGACTTCCCGCCTGGATTTAATACAGAATTATGGTCGTGAAAGAAATCCAGCATTGCTGGTCCATGGTGCGTATCTTAGACGACAACCCTCTATAGCATTTCTTGTAATGGCACATTCATAGCGCAAGCTGTTGCACTTTTTATGAGGTGTATCCATCAAACTTCCGCTTCGTCACCGGCGTCGCACAATATTTTAGTCCCTTGACTTTAGAGTTGTCAGCTGAATTACACGTGACCGCTTCCAAGTACATGCTGTTAATTAAAACATCGTAAACGGTTTTCTTTTGAACACTATCCATAAGCGGTTTCGATCTTAGCAACAAGACATGGAGCCAAACGGATTAACTGAGTCTAAAAACCGCCAAACTGGTCTTTTATCTAGCTTGCAACCTAGTGCCATTACTAAAGGGCTTCTCGAAGTTGTAGAGGTCTCTTCACTGGATAAACCTGTAAAGAATGCTTGATCGGCCCACTGTTTATCAATAAAGGAACATGTCAACAAGATGGCATTAGTCGCCTTCTCAGCCAACTTTGACACTTTATCTTCGTCATCTTACAGCGTTTGCCTTTCGCATAGAAGACGAGGACACGGCCCTGCCCAAGATTCCTGTCCATCCCATCGGCTACGGGGATGCCCAACTGCTTCTAGGGTAGATTTCACACCTGCAAAGACCGTGCTGAGAAGAGAGTTATCTTCTCGCAGCATCTAAATAAAAATGAAGCGCACGTTATATTTCATTCATCCCCTTACTTCAAAACAACCATTTCGTCAGTGTTGCTAAAATAAAGTTAATTGGCTTGTACCATCTGTCTTAAAATCCTTATACCAAGAGCAGTTTATTGACAGTTGACTTCATACTTGGTTTAATTGTACAATTTCCAACGAAGGTTCTATTCCTTTGTTCTCTGCTGGCAACTGCAAGAAAGCTTAACTGTAAACGAATCTTGACGTCATCAGACCAGAGGCCGATTCTTTTCTTCAGTCAAAATAACAATCCTTACTGCGCCCTGAATTCTACTTTGCTTTGTTCCTAATTCTCAATCCAGCAAGATGACCGGTGCGGAGGTCATTGAATCCTGGAGGGGTCACCTACCTGTCACCTACCGCCTCGGCCCGGGCTTCACCAATCCACAGAGGTTGGTACCCTGTTTCGCGTTTAGCTGAAATTTCTTGCTGGTCTCTCACCGCTTCCTTTTGTCTGCGTATCATGGTTGATGAAGGTTGCAAATAATGTATATTGTAAGAAAACTGTCCTTAACGTGTCGGATGCAGACAACAAGAACAACAAAAAGTAATTTAAGTTTCTGTCATGTAGGAATGTGAAAATGACCATCCATACCACCCGAGAGAGACGGACGACATATGACGTCATCGGTATCATCAAAGGGGAGGTTGAACCAGGTAAGTTACAGATAGAAATAAACTATACTATATGTATGTGGTAAAACATACCCATCAAACTGAACATTGCCAGGAATCGTCACCAGATACACAAAGTTAGCGTTCGGGCTTCACCTCCTTTGGTGACACCTTGTCCCCTTATGTATGCCATCACTGATTGTGTCCATAAGGCTGTCTATAATTTGCTCATTGAAAATATTGCAGCTCCACACACGCTAATTTCTCGGCCTCCTTCGAATGAAACACCTTTTTAAAGTTTCTTTGGCAAAATCATCTAAATTTTCATTTTGATGGTCTGCAGATCGGTATGTCGTAATTGGTAATCACCGTGATGCTTGGGTCTACGGAGCTGTAGATCCGAGTAGTGGTACAGCAGCTTTGATGGAAGTGTCACGTGTGTTTGGAGAGCTAAGAAAATCAGGTGAGGTATACTGAATGGTGATTGGTTCAGGGAGTGGCTCCACCCTAAACCAATATGCAATCAAAACCTCAGCGACTTCTGGATACAATAATGACATTAATTACGAATTAATTGAGTTATTAAGATGGCGATTGCGGTTTTGAGGGTTGGCACTGTACATGTAGTTGTGGCATCTATGGAAGGATTTGTACTTGTTCAGACCTAAAAGATGGCACAGAAAATGAGAGGGTCAGATTTGGCTCCCAAATGTTTTTTGTTTTTTTGTTGTTGTTTTTTTGTGGACCAAAAATACCTCATTGCTACACCTCTGACTCATGTATTAAGAGTAGAAAACAGCCAAATAATAATTAAAAAATCAAACAGAATAGGGGACTTATTCCATTCCAGTAATGCGATATCATGAATGTTTGCTTTCAGGATGGAAACCAAGACGATCCATAGTGTTTGCTAGCTGGGGTGCTGAGGAGTATGGTCTCCTGGGTTCTACAGAGTTTGTAGAGGTAGGGTGATTTTCTTGAAGGATGAGAGCTCTGGTCAAGCTAACGAAAACCTGCTGTGTTCATAATAAGCGAAACACGTTTGAAAACTGTAGTTTCGTAATTGTAGCCACAGAAATTTCTTCGGTCTTCTGAGAAAAGATTCTTGTAGTTGCTGTCTGGGAACTCTATATTAAAGTGATTATCCAAAATGAGAATTGGGGTTGCAATAAAAATGGAATAGAGAAATTGACCAAATTGCCTAAACGTTGGTAAATTCTGGTAATATTTGACTATTATACTGATTCGGGGAAGAAATTTACCCGAATGGTAAGCAGCTAGTGGTTTCCGACAAACGATGGGCAAACTAGGCCAACGGGAACTTGTTTTACAACATGTTTTAAAGTGTGCATGGATCAGAATTCAGTCTGCGATAAATAGAGATTCCCCTCCTTGAAAGTCACTTTAATGAATGCTATAGCTAAGATAAAAAAAGAGGTAGAGGCATGACTTCAAAAATATTTCAAACCATCTACTGTTTGCACAGGAATTTCAGAGGATCCTGGCTGCGAGGGCCGTAGCGTACATCAATGTTGATTCTGCCGTAATGGGCAACTACACACTTCGTGTCAAATCAACCCCTCTCTTCTACCAGGCCATCTTTGCAGCTTCAAAGAAGGTCAGAGTTTTTGGAAATAGAGTCTGAAAGTGAGCACTTGGTGGCGCCTTCTGGAACCCTTGAGTTGGACAAATAACGTGCAAAAATTTGAGAATTTGAAATTATTCTTCGTTCAGTTAAAAATCACTTCCTAAAAAGGCCTTTGTGAAATATTGACTAGAATGTCAATTTACAGAAAGAGAAAACTTGTCCAACCTGAAAGAAAAACAATGTTTTGTTTTTCTTTCATGCCAGAAATTGACCTCTCACTTCAGAAAATCGAAAATACATGACGACCAGTGCAACTCGGTATACTAGTACGCAGCTGATGAAAGTTGCAACATTATTTTTCTGATCTTCTTTGCATAAATATTGAAATGCAAATGAATTGTGTAAAGATCATTACAGAGTGTCAGGTCCAAAATAACTTATTAAGTTCACTCTTTACTTTGATACAACTTTTGCCTCAAATGCAAACTTTACTTTTTCATTGTAAAAATGGGAGTTTTCATGGATCTGATAAAAGTATTTATGATATAGGCTCGCAATATCGGTGTGTTTGAATTTTGTTGTTTTGTTCTCACAACCAGCCTAGCTTTGCCAGCCACCACTTGGCTATAAACTGCGCTTTTCGTGTAATAAAAAGGCATACAGTGTATAGTGATGAAAGCCACGCCCACCTTCTCTGCATCCATATCATCTTTTAGATTCATCATTGGTGATTTCGACGCCCAAATGTCGAACATTTCTTGTCGATTCCATGCCTGCAACACAGGTGCCTGCCCCAGAAGACCTGTCGATGTCGCTGTACGATACCTGGCGGGACCGCGCTCCTGTACATGCCACCGATCCGAACACATTGCCAAGGTAACGCTAAACGCGACCATTTCTTGACTTACATAGTAAAATGTAAATACGGACCGTGTGTTGTAGTTTCATCAACCTCGATAACGATCATATTTCTTCTTTTGAAGGTAGTAATTTTTAAATTAATATTCCAAATGGATTGCTGTTTGGTACAGTATTTGCTGTTTGGTACAGTATTTGCTGTTTGGTACAGTATTTGCTGTTTTGTACAGTATTTGCTGTTTGGTACAGTATTTGCTGTTTGGTACAATATGTGCTGTTTGCTACAGTATGCGCTGTTTGCTACAGTATTTGCTGTTTTGTACGGTATTCTGAGGGTTCACTTGGAACTGTAACACACAATGCAAAAACTTCGATGTTAAAATCAACACCACTGGGTGAAAACTCAGCAACACAGTGTTCCAATTTTTTTGCATACACTTACGCAACAAATATCGCTGTGACTGCCCCTAAACTGCCTAGAAGCAATCTGTTGTCAGCAGACTAGAGTTGGTTACGGATTGCTTGGTAATTCGTGTGTGGATGTTTTTTCTACCAGAAAAGTGCACAGACTTGTCTGTCTGTTTGTTTGTTTGTTTGTTTGTTTGTTTGTTTGTTTGTTTGTTTGTTTGTTTGTTTGTTTGTTTGTTTGTTTGTTTGTTTGTTTGTTTGTTTGTTTGTTTGTTTGTTTGTTTGTTTGTTTGTTTGTTTGTTTGTTTGTTTGTTTGTTGGGGGT